ACCTTTGGGAAGTGGTGGAACAGGATATTCTCATCTCGATGTGCAGCTGAAAAATCTGCAGCAATTGTATGACACTATCCTGTCAACACGATCCAAAATCTCTTGATGAATGCCACAAAGAACTAATGCAGCTCTGAAGGCAAAAAGGGTGGTCCAACCTGGTACTAGCAAGGTGTATCTAATGATCTATCACTGTATGGGCAGGATTTTGGCCAACAGGTTGCTAAACCTTTTGAAACTTGCTTTAGTAGTTAGTTAAGATTTTTTTTCCATTGCCGTCTTTGACTCGTGTTTTTCATAAACCTTTTTTTTCTTAAATAAAAAACATCTAAGCAAATATGGCAGCCTTATCCAAATAGGCCACACACTGTAAAACATGGGTTGACTGTCCTCCACCTACAGACCCATTTCATTTCACGTTAAACACTTTCTGCCTCCTACATTCAAACCAAGCCTCTTAGCTTTTTTTTTACATTAAAAAACAATTATTGCTAAAAAGAATTATTTTCTCTACACATCAAGCAATTTAATGGAAAAAATGATCTAGAGTACATTTGGTCTTATAGGTAATATATATAGATATATAAATATAATATATGTAACTATCATACATATGTTTTTGTAGCTGCACAATCACACAGTAGATAGAGATAGCCAGGAGGTGTCATAGGGAAAAACCGGCAGGAATCAGTTATCTGAAATTGGGAATTTCACACCTCTGCCGGCCTGGGCTTCCTCCGTGTAAGCTCTGAGTTAGCAAGCTAGCACTGTTCCTGAAGAAGTAGGACACAAAGTCTGTGGAGGCAAAGTTGGGGGAACGGGTGGGGGAGTACAGAAGGATATGAGCTGACGAGAGGAAGTGGTGAAGAAAAGATGTGTGATACAGTAGTAGAGAAGTGGGAAGGATATTTTAGTTATTTTGGGGGAAAGAATACATAAAAAAGAAATGGGAATTGTAAAACAAAGCAGGAGGATTGGACGAGAAGACACAAAACCCAAATGCTTTATATGTAGAACTATCAGGACAAGCTTTATTAGTCACCAAGGGATCTATTCTGGGCTGCTGCACCAACACATTTGTAAAAAAAAAGAAAGAAAGAAAGAAAGAAAGAAAACAGAACAATTATGAGCTAGTGTTCTGCAGAAATCTGTTAAAACATTGGTGTTTTGGAGAGGAGCATTACTACAGAGGAAACACCTTGACCAGCTTGCTTTATGTGTGATAAATCACCACTATAAGCTCTGCATTTGCTGCAGAGTATAGAGACAGACACATCACTGCATACTGAGAGCATGACAAGCTGGCTACTTCTAGTCCCTTGACCTTTCAGTACAGATGGTTTGCCTGTGTGTGTGTGTGCGTGTGTGTAAGTGTGCTGCAGTGCGACCCCCCCTGTGGCCACAGCCCAACGTTGTGGGGCTTATAAAGTCCCTTTCATGATTAATGAAAGAACAAAACTGCAGTTGGTGCACGGGCATGTGCATATGTCCACACAGAGAGCTAAGACAATGCAAGCCTGGCAAGCTGCACCAGCCAAGAATATATGCAAATGGATAATACTTTTAAGTGTGTTTGAGTGTGGACCCAGTGCCATTTACTCTTGAAGAGGAAGCTCCACATATTTCTGCGTGAAGAAGTGGAGGAAGACGTACTTGGATGGTTTCGAGTAAAAGTACCCAAGTTATTCTGGAAAAAAGTAAATAATACAAAATACAACAAACCCCCCCCCCCCCCAAACACTTGGCTTGGATCCAGAAAACAGAATTACAACACAATTATTAAACGTCAGTTTCTTTTTAAAATACAATAGCTTTAGACTTGAATGAATAACATAAACACTGAAGGACAAACAAAGGATGTCTGAAAAGATTTGGGGACCCTATTTGGAAGTCTGTAGGGGATGTGGATCTAATGGAAAGTCAACTGGATTAGTGGTTTGTTGTGAACCATGCAGTTTTCTATTTATTTATTTTGTAACTTAAAGGAGAGGGCTTGTGTGAACTTGAACACTGCCATTGCTCCACTTGTCCTCTGTCTTCAGGTGAACACTTTTTTGAGGATGTGGATTTTCATGTGCTGAACGGGAGGAGCAGGTTGTTTTATTTTTGCATTTGATTAGTTCTAGAAGTAAAACTGCCCTTTCTTAAAAGGTACGCACGTTTGTGTTTTTTTTTTGTTTTTTTTGTTGAGTAACTGGGTCCATCCCTTCTCTTCCACTTGTCCTTATCAGGGTCCTTGTGAGTGGGGCTCTAGCCTATCCCAGCTACCACAGGGCGAGTAGTGGTGTCCACCAGACAGTAACCATTTGCACTCACATTCACAGCTAAGGGAAATTTATAATCACAAATTAGCCAAACCCCACTAACTGCATCTCTTTGGGAGGAAGCCAGAGTACCTGGAGAGAACTCACGCAAACATGGGCAGAACATGCAAACTCCACACAGAAAGCCTCGGCCAGATGGTGAAGTCTAACTCAGGGGGAGCAATGCTAACCACTGCGCTGCCCGAGTAACCGGGTCATAATATTATATTTAATGACATGCATACAGTGGGGCAAAAAAGTATTTAGTCAGCCACCGATTGTGCAAGTTCCCCCACTTAAAATGATGACAGAGGTCAGTAATTTGCACCAGAGGTACACTTCAACTGTGAGAGACAGAATGTGAAAAAAAATCCATGAATTCACATGGTAGGATTTGTAAAGAATTTATTCGTAAATTAGGGTGGAAAATAAGTATTTGGTCACCTCAAACAAGGAAAATCTCTGGCTCTCACAGACCTGTAACGTCTTCTGTAAGAAGCTTTTCTGTCCCCCACTCGTTACCTGTATGAATGGCACCTGTTTGAACTCATCATCTGTATAAAAGACACCTGTCCACAGCTGCAAACAGTCAGACTCCAAACTACGCCATGGCCAAGACCAAAGAGCTTTCGAAGGACACCAGGAAAAGTATTGTAGACCTGCACCAGACTGGGAAGAGTGAATCTACAATAGGCAAGCAGCTTGGTGTGAAAAAAATCAACTGTGGGAGCAATCATCAGAAAATGGAAGACATACAAGACCACTGATAATCTCCCTCGATCTGGGGCTCCACGCAAGATCTCATCCCGTGGGGTCAAAATGATCATGAGAATGGTGAGCAAAGATCCCAGAACCACACGGGGGGACCTGGTGAATGACCTGCAGAGAGCTGGGACCAAAGTAACAAAGGTCACCATCAGTAACACACTACAACGGCAGGGAATCAAATCCCGCAGTGCCAGACGTGTTCCGCTGCTGAAGCCAGTGCATGTCCAGGCCCGTCTGAAGTTTGCCAGAGAGCACATGGATGATACAGCAGAGGATTGGGAGAATGTCATGTGGTCAGATGAAACCAAAGTAGAACTTTTTGGTATAAACTCAACTCGTCGTGTTTGGAGGAAGAAGAATACTGAGTTGCATCCCAAGAACACCATACCTACTGTGAAGCATGGGGGTGGAAACATCATGCTATGGGGCTGTTTTTCTGCCAAGGGGACAGGACGACTGATCCGTGTTAAGGACAGAATGAATGGGGCCATGTATCGTGAGATTTTGAGCCAAAACCTCCTTCCATCAGTGAGAACTTTGAAGATGAAACGAGGCTGGGTCTTCCAACATGACAATGATCCAAAACACACCGCCCGGGCAACAAAGGAGTGGCTCCGTAAGAAGCATTTGAAAGTCCTGGAGTGGCCTAGCCAGTCTCCAGACCTCAACCCATAGAAAATCTGTGGCGGGAGTTGAAAGTCCGTGTTGCTCGGCGACAGCCCCAAAACATCACTGCTCTCGAGAAGATCTGCATGGAGGAATGGGCCAAAATACCAGCTACTGTGTGTGCAAACCTGGTAAAGACCTATAGTAAACGTTTGACCTCTGTTATTGCCAACAAAGGTTATGTTACAAAGTATTGAGTTGTATTTTTATTATTGACCAAATACTTATTTTCCACCCTGATTTACGAATAAATTCTTTACAAATCCTACCATGTGGATTCATGGATTTTTTTTTCACATTCTGTCTCTCACAGTTGAAGTGTACCTCTGGTGCAAATTACTGACCTCTGTCATCATTTTAGGTGGGGGAACTTGCACAATCGGTGGCTGACTAAATACTTTTTTGCCCCACTGTACATATCTCTATCTATAAAACTCAAACCAAAACAGTGTAAATGGATATAAAGCATCAGGTGTGAATGTGAGTTTGAATGGTTGTATGTCCCTCTCTGCTAGCCCTGCATTAGCCTGGTGACCTATCTGTGGCATACCCTGCCTCTCGCCCTGTGACAGCTGGGATGGGCTTCAGCGTGTCTTGTGACCCTGAATCAAATAAGTGGAAGAATATGAAAGGACGGCACTGACATGCAAGAAGCAAAAACTGCAGCCGACTGGGGTAGAGCTCCTTTTACTGGCAGTATAATTCTGTATCATTCATAATGTCAGGTTTTTGAAGCTGGCATGCAATTAGCTGCGTTCCCTTTGAAATATCATTACAAGCACAAAGTTCTATACAACAAAAAAACTCAAGGGGAGCTCAGGTAAGTACTGCTGTGAAATAGATACTATACTGTGTGCTGCTTTAATGAGCTTTTATTTGACTTTGTTTAGGCTGCACTCTGAAAGAAAGGCTGACCTCATTTCTTTCACTGCATGCTGATATATAGAATAGATACTGCAAGCAGAAAGGCCACATATAATTGCTCTTCTCTGCAACAATCTGTGAGCGCGATCGTGTGCAAATGCATGCCAGCCATGAGAAATGCCATTATTTTAAATTTGCAAGGATAACTTATCTACGTGACCTTCAGCTTCTAGTTTATTGAGCAGAGATCATTGTTTGGTGTCTGTGTGTGAATACGGCTATAGATTACGTACTTAACACTGCCTCAAGAGAGCTCCTGGTTAGCTACAGGTAAAGAAAAGTGATTCAGTGAAAATAGCCTCTCTCTCAGTTTGTGTGTCAGTCACGCCTGAAGCTTACCTGTAGCCATCTTTGCATCTGCTGCGGCGGGCCCATCGGGGATAACGCTTTTGACCTGGAGGAATTCATCGGGCTCATCCCCTCCAATGATAGTGAAGCCAAAACCCATGTTGCTCTTTTGGAGTGATGTGGACAAGAAACTGCCTTTCAGCTGGGTGGGGTCCCGCGTGAACAGCGGCTTCTCTACAAAAGGATAAAAACAAGAAAATTAAATAAAATGTCTTTCCCTATAAGTTTTATTGCAATCACTAAAAGGCCCTAAAAGCTGGTGCAGGGGCTGCGCTCACAGGGTGGGGGGCAAGGGCAAAGCTTATTCAATAAGATACGGGTGTAGCCACAGGAAAACTGGAAGGGTATGACCACAGTAGCAAAACAGCACACTCGGACAAAGGCGGTATTGAAAGATGCAGGTGTGGGTCAAACGTTTTGCCTCCCGTGCAGGGCACCAATGCAATCCAAGTCCCTCTTGGCACACCTAAAATACACTAAACTGACACTCTGTCCTCGCCTCCCATGCTGGGACACAGTGGGCAGAAGAGGTGCAGACAGCCACAGTGGTGCAGTTTCTTCAGTTCCATCCCAAATTTGCAAAGAAAGCAGCAAAATTCAGCAAATGCCATGCTGCCAATCAGGGATCAGTTCCAGGAGAAGATGCTCAGGGAGGTTAGGGAAGAACTGGGAGATTTCTGAAGGAGGAAGAGCTGGGAAATTTTCTGATGGAGGAGCGCCTGGAGTCGGAATGAGAGGATCTCTGCCAACAAGCTTAGTCACACTTAACCAAGTCCCTCATCTTTTTGACTCGGAAAAGAGACATGGCTAGCGTGCAACTTTGCATCCTTTGTAAGCAGTCACTGGTCCAGACTAAGCGATGCCCCTCTGTACCTGCTCTTCCCAGGTGATAGGGCAGGTGACAGGGCATGGTCACTGCACAAAAACTACCTCAAGGGAACAAGCTTGCCTGCCAGTTACCATGCTTACAGTGCGTCAAACAAGCGAAGAGTCAGCCTCCTGTGCATCTTTCTTGGCCTACTTACTGACAAAGTGCCACAGGGAGTAGGGGCTACAGACTGGCTGCTCTAGCACTACAGCACAGGCGGATGTGTGAAGAGGCCGCTGTTTCTGCCTGTGATTGGGGCACATATTCATCCGCCGAGTCAGAACACGCCGGAGCGGGGAGACATCGGCAGAGGAGGATTTGGTATACGAAGCAGTCCTGCAGCCCAGAGCTGGCGAGCGGGAGAGGTCGCTGAGGCTATGGCAGCGCTCGGGCACCGGGCCGACCTGGACGTGGGGGGATCTGGGGAGGGTGGCACAGGGGCTGGCATCCTCCACTGGTGTCAAAGTTTGAAGGGAAAAGAAGGAGTAGAAGGAAGGAGGAGGCAGAAGTGGGTAGAGAGGAGGAAAAAGAGCCTCACTGGACTGAACAAAAGAAACAGGCTCTTCACTCAGAGTCGCGACTAACAACATTACTACAGAAACAAACCTCCACTTCTCGGATCCAGACAGTTTTTTCTAGCAGTACACATCCTACTGTAACAAACTGATAGAGAGCAGAATCAGGTAACCAGTCATTAAACAAAACAGTGAATCACCCTGAAACCCACATGTTCTCTTTGGAAGACGTCTGTTTATATGGCAATAAGTATTATTAGTCTGACCAAAATGCATTCCACCCACTGTTTTAATGAGGCATAGGTGTGAACTGACTGATATATCCTACCGTCAATCACTATAAAAATAATCTTTATGAGTAAAGCCTTTGGGGAAAAAAATTAACATTATTTTTTGGTAACATGCATGTTTTTTCTTACTTTTTCTTTCAAACAGCTTTTTACTCGTACATGCAGCTTTCCTGATTATATGACCTTGTGTGTATCTCTAAGGCCACGGCTATATAAAATTGCATCAGTGCGTAAATAGTTTGCTACATCTATTCAAATAATTTTATGTTGTTTGAAAGTGTTAGTGATTGCAGCACTGTTGGACATAATATTCAAGGATGAGGGGCTTAACACCTTGTTACGTTGCCACCCTGCTTCATTTTCAAGCCTAGAAATTCATATCTGGGAAATTAACATCTTTGTTTTCTGATACAGGATGTGATACATAAGATCAGTCTTAAGGTCAGTGTATACTAAAACATAATCTGCTTTATTATTATCTGTATTTATCTATTTGGGAGGATAATTCACAAATTAAACTCCACATTGTTTTTAACAAGACTTAAATATATCCATCGAGACTATAAACTCATCAAAAAAATTCTTTACCGAGTTCATAAATTAAATTAAAAGTATGGTCAATTCCTTATAGACTTTTTAAAATTAGACTGGTTATGCAACCAGAAGGAGTCGCCCCTTTTCAGATCCTGGGTTTTATGTATTTTGTGTCCAGCACACATGAATTTTCACTTACTGACAGGTGTTTTAAGCCTGTCATTGTCAGTTATATTTACATTTACACAAAGATTGTTCTGATTAGATAAATTACTGTTTATATATTAGCTTTATATATTGCCTGAAAAGTCTGCTCCAGTCTCCAAGGGGTGCTCTAAGAGGGGATCTGGCTTTCACAGAGCTCTGATCTGAACATGGTGGACTTAGTCTGGGATTGCATTAACAGAATCAACTTAAAAACTCAACCCCAAAACTTTGTTGTTAAAGATGCTTTGAACAACACCTGCAAAGGACTCCAAAAATTAACACGCAAGTGGACCTAGAAGAATTAGGGCTCAAATACTGAATTTATTTTATTTCATGTTGTTTATCATTAGTTTGACAATTAGAATGAATCACATTCATTAAAGCACCTTCCCAGCATTTGCATGTGTAATTGAAGGTATTAAGAGAATTTTCCTGCATCTGCTTTTATCATTAAAGCTCTTGAGAGGCTTTCTGAAGCACAATAATAAACACAGAATGGAGTTTTTTAACAGATATCTTTATAAATGTTCCTTAATTATAGTGCAATATTAATCTCTTAATACACAAGTAATTAATAAATGGATATATATACCCTACTAATAATTTCCCATAAAGCCAAAGGCCGTTCTTACCTCTGTAGATGGTGGGAAGGGGCAGCGAGGACAGGCCCTGGCTTTGCATCTGCTGCTGCTGGAGTCTCCTTTTAGCTTCCAGGACTGGGTTCTCAAACTGGGTCCTTCTATTTATATGACTGAGATGATAACACCAGAAAAAAAAAGAGAGGAGATTTTAGATCTCACACTACACCAGCACACCTATCTCAGCCCCTTCTTGGAAAAGATCAGATCTAACAAACGTAGCACTACAGCAGCCATAACTATGATGATTAATTGAATGGCCAGTTCCCAGATTATGTAACAGCCGCAGAACAGTTCTGCTGAGTAAAAAAGAACAAACGATTGATTTCTTCCGTAATTCAACTCGTCTTGTAACCAGAATTATGTGAATCAGTGACTGGGAGTAACCCTGCACATGGAACAGCGATTTCCTTTAATGTCCTACGTTGATCTTAATTTAGCATGTACAGGGGGGAGATAGTCACTGACTACAAATGCTGTAATTTGCCAGTGTGAAATAATTAGTCATCATTAGATACTTCTTTCCATATTTAAGACCACACACACACACACACACACACACACACACACACACACACACACACACACACACACACACACACACACACACACACACACACGTTCTCTCCTCTCCTTATCTTTTAATGAACACCCCAGTATCACAGTCCTAATTACAAAACAGCTTAACTTTATTTTTATATAGTTATATAATTTCAAGGTCTTGCAGCTTCTTTAATGATATTTACATGATGACAAAGGGAGACACAAAGAGCATCTCGAGAGGGATGCGCAGTATATAAGGCAGAGTGTATTCAAGTGTCACTCTGCAGGTTTTTTAAAGCAAACTCAAGCCAAATGAATTCCCCCTGCCAGTCTAAAAATAGAGCAGCATCACAGTGCCCCAGAGTGGAAAGCATCCAGCCACAAAAAATAAGAAAAAAAAGGCACCCCTGAAACAGAGAGGGGACGTGCAGTTCAATACAGAGGACAGGCCACTGCAGCAGTTCCTCTGTAGCATTCAGATGCACGATCAGGGCTACAGATAAGCACATAAACTTGCAAACAAACAGTGAGCCGTCAGCAAGCAGACATTAAGAGTAACTCTTTTCTGGCTACATCGCCAGTTTGCTCCTAATAAATATGATTAATGCGACACCAGCGGGTGATGCTGAAAATCAAAAGCAAGTCATTATGTATTAAAGATGTACTGAACTTACTCGACATAGTAGCTGCCGTAAATGGGGTCATCGATTTTCTCCCAGCCGTACGGAAGCTCTGTTAAAAAAACAACAACAACAAAAAGAACAGAAGCGATAATGAAGGACTTGTTTATTCAGTGAACTTGCATCAGCATGTTGATGTTGCATGAAAAAATGTCCGTGGCAGATTAAGTTTACAGTGCCATTTTACTGTTTGGTAATCGTCAGTGATTTGATGGTACATTAGCATGATAACTGGAAGGATTATTTCTCATCTATATTTTGGAAATTTCATCTTTTATAAAAAAAATAACTTATGGCAATAAGACACAAGATTAAAATCTAGCTATGTTTCCTTTGCAACTTGTCACATTGACGTGCATCAAATGCAAACTTCTTTCAGAAAAAAGTTGTAAAACTGCACCAAACGCTGTTAGATCTAGTGGCTGAATTTAAATCGGTAAAATATTTATGTCCTGCATCTTCACCAGGCTGTAAATATACTTTAAAAATATGGGAACATTTTCCATAAATTAACAGAATAAAACTAGAATGAGCACAAACTGTCAGGGTATTATATCTCAACATGTTAGTGAAGTTTTACTCTCATTTCACCTCCAAATGTCACGAGTTAGGGACTGGCTTAAGTTCCCAATAATAAACAGTACATCACAGATATTGTAAATGTCATATCAAACAATACAACACTTGTGATAAGCATCTAAATGACATATTAATTAAAGAGCAAACTCTTGGTGTAAGCAATGCAGCCAGCACAGAACTAATAAAAAACTGCAGTTCCATGAGTGGCCACTTGAGGCTGGCACAACAATTGATTCAAACCCTGTGACTGACATTTATATGACACGTGCATATGGAAGCACAAGTATTCCCAGATGAGACGGAACTCATGGAGGAAGATTTCTGCAGCAGTCTGGAGAAGATTACAAATGGACAAAAGCGCCATAACGGCGAGCTTAAATGATTGTGGCTGCTTGACGATGTCATCATCAGCGTGCGAAGCGACCAATGCAGGGAGGATAAATGTGCCATAAAGGTGTAACTTTCCCAAGGGCTCAGAAGGTAGGGGAGGCCCGGTTGACATAAATATCCAACGAGCATCTCTGGATTACATGGCAGGCATACTTGCTGCGTTCATACTGTAATATATATGTGTGATATATGTAGAAGCTGCTCCATTAGAAATGATTGTTGAATCATGAATTCTATAAACAGATTAGCTCGTCAGTCTGAGGACCTGTTGTTAATGGGCTTCTCTGTTTTCTTCCATGCTTGCAGACATTACAGTTGTCTTTCTGTTAATGTAGCCTGGTAAGCTTGACTAAATGTGTCCATTCCCCAACCTCTAACTGCAGTTGCTGTCCATGGTGCTAATCAAACGTGGGGATGATGCTATTGATATTATTGATTGCTGCTGTATGATAGGGCAGCACAGTGGTGCGGTGGTTAGCACTGTTGCCTCGCAGCAGTCTCTCTGTATGGAGTTTGCATGTTCCCCCCAGGTCAGCAGGACTTTGCTCTACTACTCTGGTGGTACTTCCGCTTCCCCTCAGAGTCCAAAGATATGCATGGGGTTAAGCTAATGGACGATTTTAAACCGCCCGTAGGTGTGAATTTGAGTGTGAATGGTTGCTTTTTTCCTATGTGTTAGCCTGTGGCCCGTCCAGTATGAAAGCAGGCAAGGGCCCAAGAAATACCTGCCTCAGTGCCTATAACAGAGCCTGTATGCCTGTGTAAAAGACAGAAACGTGTTTAAGTCAGGTATAATGAAATACCTTTGGTCTCCATAGATAATATTCCTGTATTTCCCTTCCTGTTATTATTATGGTGTACTGGAGCTTTGTGGTAATATGTGTTAATTTACAGCCCAGTTTAAGTGAAGGAGATTCCAGCATTTTATTAGTCCGTTACTTAATCTAATTAGCAGATATGTATGTCTGTGTGATGAAACTTCGCAGTCTACAGATGAACCTGGATAGCCAAGCTTGCTTGATAATTAAGAACTCCATCATCTCAGGGTGGCAAATGGCTCCATCAAGACCATTAAGATAAAGTCAAAGCATCAAAATGTAAGTTCACAAACCAGGTGGCGTAAGTCACTGTAGCGTTGTTCATATTTTATATACAGTCTATACATAAAACACAGACTATGAGTTAACAGCACATAAAATATATGCAAATATATTTAATGATATGTATTCTGGGATGATATTTGCAGGAAGCTAATTTCAACTGAACCTAAAATGTATCTCCATTTCTAAAAAAAACAAAACCCAAATCACCTGAACTCTCAAACTGCCACAGAGGCCAAAACAACAGATGTGAGTCATGCCCACCAAACCCTCCACAGAACAACATTGGATGGATTTACCACAGAAAAACCTAATTAAATGAGAACATTATGAGTTAACGAGCAAAATTAAATTGAAACGCTACGATTTGGAGGACCTCGTTGCGCTGACAAACGAAAACCTTCATCTAACACTTCTAAATGAAAAGTATAATGTGTATAACTTTTTATAACGAGAGGAAATCCATGCAATACATGTTTGGGAATATCACTCAAAGCAACAAATGTAACCTCGCAGGAAAGAACAATCTGAAAATCCCCTTTGTGATTAATCTTCTAGAATTGATAAATGATCCATAAATGTCAAAACAAGATTTTGGCAATGCCTAAAAAAGCAGTTGTAACAGCTGGCATCGACTACCTGGTCAGACTGAGAGCTTTACTTTTTTACACAAAGTGGTGTATAACTTTTGAACAGAGTGAGTGCACCTTGGCCTCTTTCTATACGTGAGATGTGCTGCAGAACACGCTGCAGTGATCAAAGGAGATCTTCCTTCCAGCTCTGACAGTTATCGGTCATACCGGACAGGACTTTGAAAGTTTTGCCCCATCTCCTCTTTTCTATACCCACAGCTCACTGGCAGAACACATCTCTTAAAAAAATGCCTAGAAGGAGTTCCCCCCTTTGCTTTCCAGGATATGAGCAATTAGCATTTAAAACATATTCCCACATGTAGACTGCAGAATTTTAGCATAATATTGTAATCATTGAATACCAGCTTGGGTACTCACTGTTAGAGGCTCGTACTGAAATAGAATCTAAGCTGAATCTAGCGTGGAGCTCGGGGACAGTGTGTTCCGGTCCTGCTCGGCTTAGATTCAGACCAGCTTTGATTAGTGACAATGCAAAGTTAATCAGGATGAGAGCAGAGATAACAGCAGAGAAAATGCTTCCTAATCAGAAAGGGAGGCAACCAGAGGGAGAACTAAAGCACCTCAGGCTCTCCTGGACTTTGCAGCTTGTTGTAGGCACGACTGCAGCTTGTGACAAAGACACATAAACAGGGATTCACCAAAGATATGATACAATCTATGGTCACTCTGTTCAGTGTGTTAAATATCACCCCTTGACCTAGTTAGCAGACTCGATTGAGTGCATACTGCTCCTCTGTAGCAGACAGCACTATTGCACCAATGCTAAGGAGTGCACGTGCCATATGCCTCTCTGTACCCATGCCCCCATCTCCTCCAAACAAATGATTAAAGTTTTATAAGATGCACTATTTTTTCCTGCACGCGCACGCGCACATGGTTGTGAGTGATACAGCAGTGCTGTGAGCAGGTTGACAGCCCATGGGAATTCCTTCTGTGAACAGCAACATTTCATAGAGTTAATGTTTTTGTTTTTTTAACTAGACCTTTGCTAAGTTCTACACACCTGTATACAAAGTACATACAAATTATATTACTTACTTTACACTCATGTTCAGAGGTATAACCCCTTTAGTTATTTTACACACACACACACACACACACACACACACACACACACACACACACACACACACACACACACACACACACATATATAAAGGAGATCAAAGGACTCAGTCATGCATCCCAGCACTCTAATGAAACGCTTTTCTATTAAAACGTCCACAGAATATTTACAGAAACAAAAACAGTCCCTGGCTTCAATAACGAGAAGAAGACAAATTGATTCTCTGTTAAGGATAGTTTGAGTTTATTAAAACTTGGCTCTTATTTTTATTCTTTTGACTCATTTCTGACAACGGTTCTCAAACACTAAAATCTGGCAACACAGCAACATAGCACTAAAGTCTGAGGGTAAAAATACACAAGTAGTAAAATAATGGAGTCACTGGAAACGAGATAGCTACAAAGCACAGAAAATATAAATAGAAAGTAAATATCTCCTAAAGAAATATTTTACCCAAACTATGAAAGTGACAAATCAAATGTTTAAACAGTTTAACCCTGTAAAGCCTGAACTACAAAATAATTGCCAGAAAATGCAATTTTTTTTAATTGAACCTTCTGAGAAACTTAAAAAAAAAGAAATATTATTTTATATACATTTGTATATTTTTGCTACGTTTGCTACATTAATTTATTAATTTACATGAATTATTTTTTTCAGGAAAGAAAAATCCCAGTAATGACGTAAAGGTCTCAAAAAACCTCACAATAACATAAAAAAAATGAGAAACACTTAGCAATAAAGGGTTAAGAAAAAATTAGCACTATTTGAATCTGATGCCGATGTTTACTGCTGTTGAGAAAAACCACTAAAAGCAAATTTCATGACTTGTTGGAATTCACTGACCTCCAGAGAGCGACCCATTCTTTCACAAACGTTTGTAGAAGCAGTCTGCATGACTAGCTGCTTGATTTTATACACCTGTGGAAGTGATTCACCTGAATTCAATGATTTGGACGGCTGAGTGAATACTTTTGGCACTATAGTGTATCACTCAGCACTGATGGTGCCTTTCTAGATGTGCAAGCTGCTAGACGTCGGGGCGGAGGCTTTTTAACTGAGCGCAGATAACGAGCTAAATGGTCCTTTTCCTCTTTATTGCTGTCCATGTTTTCCAGAAAGAATTTTAAATTTTGATTTGTCTGACCATGGAGCAGTTTTCCACTTTGCCTCCATCCCCTCTAAATGAGCTTTGGCTCAGAGAAGATGGTGACGTTTTTGGATCATGCTCTCATATGGCTTCTTCTTTGCATGGCAGAGATTT